CCCTCACTGCGCTCGCGGGTGCGGAGCTGAACATCAAGAAGGCAAAGATTCCGCCTTGGTTGAGAATGTCACATCCAACGGAGAGGATGATCCTCCTTTCACCTCTGACATTCCCAATCCAGCAGAAGTACAAAGCTGCTAACGAGACCTTGGAAGGGATTGAGATGTCTGTCGATGATGCACGTGATCACCTGCTCAAGGACGAGGACTACGAACCCCAGTCGTTGCAGAGTGACGAGAAGCGACAGCTTGACGATGAGGTCGATCAGATCGCTGGTCTGCTGCTTGCTGAAGGTCCGGAGTTCCCTGGCAGAGATCCGGGGGGGTCGCATCGAGGAGAAGGATGCATCGAAAGGAAAAGGCGATGGACATACCAAGGGCGATGATGGAGTCGTCAAATCCGACCTTCCTCATGTGTCAGCAGGGACAGGTGCGGGTGGGTGGGCCAAACAGCACGAGCTAAAAGGCGAAAATGTTGCGGCCGTTCATCCTAAACCCCGAGGACGGTTTGTCAAGGATGCACGGCCTTCTCTTTTCACCGCAAGCAAGTAGTTGGTACAAAAAACCCCATGCCAGGAAACACTCGTAGCCATTCCAGGCTTGGCCCTGGCAAGAAAAAGAGGGAGAAATAACCTCCCTGATCGCGATCCGGGATCCATGATTCCATCAAGGAAACAGAAAAGAAAACAAGACGCAACCACACCAACACCAAAACAAACACCACAGGCCCCCAAAGGGGGTCAACCATGGTCCCTTCCACGTCCCCCATACTTCCGCATACGCGATTGCTTGCGTGAAAACCGCATCTGCATGTCTGACAGTACAGCCAAAGAGTCCTGAATATAGATCCTGACTGTCCGTTCAGCGGACCAGCGACCAGCTTGGCAGACTTGTGAGTAGCTTTTAGTGGTTATAAAGAGGTGAGCGGCACCACCTCTCCTGAGACTGTACGGTTTAAACCGGCAGTTTGTAAAACCACACGCGACGCAAGCACCCTGGAAGGCTGCACGAAAAGCATGCGGGCGCAAATCCACCAAAAAATCGTCCGGGCGAGCACGCAAAAGCCACGCTCTGAGCAACATGGAAACCTCCAGGTTCTCCAACGTTGTTGCATCAGCTCCCGCATTACGATACGACATTTTAGTCGAACCCAAGTGGAGCACAATGGATGACGACTTCCCGACATGTATATGCTTAGCTTGCAGCTGCAGAAGCTCCGAAGAAGTGCCGAGAAAGCCACCTGCAAGGCCAAAGCCAGCTGTGGTTTAGATCCCTCTAGATAACCACGCAATACATTCAAAGTGGCTGGCGTCAACGGCTTGGCCCGTGAGGGCAGCTCATGCTGACCCCAGGTCTTCACAAGTCGCCATGAAATTGGCAAATTCCGCCGCAGGTTGGGCTGAGCATGCTGCAGACCACAAACAGTGTCATTAGCTTTGTAGCGACTGTCGCCTTCCTCCCAGAGATGAGTGATATACTGCCCTAACTGCGCATCGAAGGCTGTTTTTGTTTGCGGCAGCTGGAGCTCCTCATACTTAAGGTACTGGAAAAACTCTCGCACAGAGTCACGATAACGCTTCAAGGTAGCGGGTTTGACTGTAAGGTCCTGCAAAGTGCCTAAGTGTTTGCGCGTTCTGCCCGGCTGCGCCCTTCCACTACCTGCGCTTTAACCATCGTCTCTTGACCGGCCGTCGAGACGGCCGGTGAGCCGGATTCTGGTCTGTGCTGACGTAGCCGAGCAAGCAAACATTTCCGGACGCTAACAAATAGGCACACATGCGTTGCAGGACCAACCGAAGCTTTCTTGAAGAAGACCTCCCCTTATTGGTGACTAACAAGGAGACCATTGAGTCCGGTGAAGGAACCGGTGGCCCAGCCTCTGCTGCTTCTGGATTCGCCACTTCAAAGCCGTGAAAAGGGCCCGTAGCTCAAGCTTGTTGATGTGCTCGGGCCGCCCAGGAGTCCTCCTCCACCGCAAACCACAGACAGTTTTCCATCCCCACAACCCAGCGGGGACCGAAGACCTAAAACGTTGAACTTTGGAACACACATGGTGGGGTGCTGACACCAGCGTTGCCAATTTCTGCACCAGCAACCCCTCACGCTCCGCGTCCGAGACCACACTTGAACGCTGTGTCCAAGCGCGTCTCCAAAGTTGGCTTTGGAGAAGCGCACCCTCCACCACCTCCCGAAGGGAGACGTGGGGGATAAACCCCTGATCTTCCAACAAGCTCTTCAAAAGCAATGCCACCACAGGCACCGATAAGGCGCGTGTTCTCCTTGCCTTCCTCTCATGCTTCGCCATGCGCAGAGAGATACACTCCAAAGGAAAACCTAAAATCACCTCTTGCTCCTCCACTGAAGGGAGGCGCCAGCCTTTTTTCAGATGGTGCACCCCATTCTCACGTTTGTATTGATACGGCGGGAAACGATGGTTGTCCGCCGCCCAAAGCTCCAACGGCCTCCACCTAGGTTTGGCACTTGGCTGGGACGTTGTAAACGTGTTCAACTTGCGATCTGGCGGGCCCGCCAAAGCCCATCCAGGCTCAAGATAGCAAGAGGCTTCAACACTGACCTCAAAACGGACCTCCCCATACTCATGGCAGTCAGGAGACCCCGGGAGCGTGATGCGCACGCCGTCTTCACTTCGGATGGCCCAATTGAACCACCACAACCGAGGCCGCCTCGCGAGTGAGCAGTGCTTGGCATCGACCAAATACGGAAGAACCTCGATGGAAGTAGAGTAAACTGCTCGATCCTCCCAGCTCATTGAGAACACACTTTCCATCAAGAAGAACACCTTGGCCCAACTGAAGACACTCCTCACCAGGTCAATGCAAAGAGGACCTCAGACCCCACGGCTCCTTTGCGCCCAAAATTCAAGCCGGACACACCCTGGCAAGGGGGTCCCCCTCCAAAAATGACCAAGTGAACGCGGGAGAAACGGAGGGCCCACTGCCTGACCTCCTCCTCCGTCACCTCCTCAACAGAGGAGAGCTGCAGGACATCAGCAAAGTTCGCTTCCACCACTCTACGGGCGCCGGCATCCGATTCTACAGCGATGTAATTTTTTTCTGGGGTCTGCAAGACATCCAGCGCCACCCGCAACTATGCCATCAAAAAGACCAATCCCCAAAACCGGAGAGTCATCAGGGAGCTCAGAGGTCTCACCTCTCACTGCAGCCCCCATAGGCTTGAGCCCCGTAGACATCACCAAACCACCACCCGTCTCAGAGGCGTCCGAGGCCGTCACCACAAAGGAAGACGGAAATTGGTCACTGCTAGCGGAGGTAGACTCATCCCAAGCCACAGCTCAATCTTGACTTCCAAGAGGATAGGTTTCCACAGCCCTGTTTTCCCTTCGAAAGAAGAGATGAAAACCCAGATCTGGTTGAGGCACGACATCACGGGTCGCCTGTAACTAAAAAGGTAAACCAACCCCCCGCGACAATTTGCAACCTCTTGAGAGAGGTCCTCTTGGACCTTAGGAGGAAGAGTCCTCCCTGAACATATCGAGCGGTTTTCTCGTCCGGATAGACCCTTCAACCCCATCAAACAATGCACCCTGCATCTCAGCGACCAGCTGTTGTTCAACAGTCTTCTTCACATTCCGGGGAACATTGAACTCCTCATAAACTGAACGCAGTGCCAGGCTCGCCCCATTTGGCCGCCCCTCCAAAAGTGCCGCAGCGGAAGGGTTCACCTTTTGCAAAGTATCGAAGTTGTCCAAGTAGACCCTGTAAAACAAAGGGGAGCGAGGAACCGCCTTGTCACGTCTGAGCTCCGTCTCTTGACCCACACCTGCCAGCTCCATCGCCCTCGTGACCAGTCCTCGACGCAGGTGCTGAGCAATACTCACACTGTTGATGAAGCCCATTGGGAGCACTGTAGCAGACAGCACATGTGGCCTCCTATCCCCACCCAGATTAAGGGAGGCCGGTATAACCTTATTGAAACAAAGAAACGGCCTCCAAACCTCAGGAAGGCCTACCACATAGAACATCGCCTTGATATCCTCACTCGAGATGAGGACATGTTCACCCTCTCTAAAGGCGCCATCTGCGATAAGAGGGGCAACGTTGCTAAGTCACCTTGCAACGGCTCAAAAAGAAGATTTGCCGGGCGGAGGTCCATATTTAGCCTCAGGACTTCCACGCCCCCGACAACCTCATGCTTCGGCACCCCAAAAAGCCCACCAAGAAGGGGTTCCCCTTCAACCTTGTAGGCTTCCTCCAGGGGCCAAGGGGTACAGATGCCCCTTTCAATCAAACCTTGGGCAACCTGCCCCCTGACCTTGTGAGGTTTCAGCCACTTCCGGGAACCTTGTGGCTTCAAGTACTTGTGGGGGGATTTGAGGAAGTCTTTGACTCCCTTGAACACACTTCAAGTGCGTCTACGACTCCTGCACTGCCTTTGGCGGGCAGGGAATGTGCTAGGTTGGCCCGCCCCAAATTCTGCGGGACGTGTACTTCCATCCCGTAGGAATTAACCACCTTAGCATTCCAAAAATCCTCCTCCCCTTCGGGGTTAGGTAGTGGAGAACCTTACTCCACCTACCAACACAGGAAATGGACTCCCAAAGATGCCGCAGTACTTTTTGCTGCAGCGCAGTGCCCTCATGTCCAGGCATCGAAACCGAAGAGACAGGGGGGTAACCAGCCATCCAGTTGAGGCCCGTGACCACCCCTTGAAACCAAGCATCAAAGGAGAAATCCCCATATTCAGTGCCCAAACCACCCCCCCGCGCGGGCAGGGGAAACAAGTCTGACGGCAGGCTTCGTTCCCCTTCCCAGGCCGCCTTGCTCGCAGTGAAGGCAACTTCGGCCCTACTTTCAAACCACCACTCTTGTAAGCAGCGTCCAGCTGCAGCGAGTGACAGTTCTAGGGAACAATCGGACGCGGAAAAATGCGACGGGGGCGCAAGATCAGGCAAGCTACCAAGTCTGGATCCGGCTCATCTCTCCTCTCAGGCGAAGAGGAGATCACTCCTGCAAAACCGCTCAGGCGTCCGCGGGCTTGGGCTTCACCACCTCCGACTGTTTGGAGCCCTTCTCCTTGCCCTTCGGCTTCCCGCCTTTGCTCGGGTAACTCTTGTTGGCGTGATCGCCCCCTTTTCCTTGCCAGGGGGCGCCTTGATCTCCTTGGTCTTGATGAACTCCACTTGCTGACCCGCTGCCCCCTGTCCAGGGGCGCCTCCCCGCGGAGGCCTGCAAACGCTCGTCCTGCTTCTGCTCCTTTGCAGCCGTCCGGAGCTCCTCGTCTGTGGCGACGCTGTTGAGGATCTCCGGGATCAACTCCATCCTTGACGCCACCTCCGGGCGTCTCCCTCGCATGATGGCTTCGAGGTATTTCAGGCGTTGCATGCTGACATCCAGCGCTCGGACGACCTCCCCCTCGAAGAGCTGGTCCATGACCGCGCAGAGCGACAAAGCCTCTCTTGCCAATGGGCGCGACGGGTTCAGACGCGAGAGAGTCTGGCGGAAGTACTGAACCATGGCGGGCCCCGGCTCCCTGCTGGCAAGCGAAAGACCCATCCCATCGCACAGGGTCTTCCTGCACCGCTGGAGCCCCATCTTGGCTAGCAGCCCGGGACATCGCCTGGCCACATATTTGGCCTGGCTCTCCTCTGGGAAGAGGAGCTCCTCGTCCGAATCCAGCACCTTGGATTTGGGACCGCCCGAATGACTGCTGCTGCTGCTGGAGTCGCTGTCTCCTTTTCCTCTCCTCAGCTTTATCTTCGGCCTCTTGAACTCCGGATCGAGGCTCGATCCTCGCCACGACCACCTGCTTTGCTTCAGCATCTCCAGCACGCGTACCTTGTCCTTGGCCTTCTTCTTCTTCTTCTTCTTCTTGGCTTCTCTGCCTTTTTCTTTCTCGCCTTCGTCTGCTCTCTGCGGAGAGTAAGACAACTCTCTCCCGTCCACGGGGAAATTCCTGGGAGCAGCGGGAGGCAAAGCTGTGCCCTCCGTCTCCTGGGCACGTCCCGCTCGGCGCCCTCGCACTGGAGAGCCAAAACCCATCTCCTCTGCCAATTCCGCCACGCCTCCCAGTTCCCCCAAACTCTGATGGGGGCCACTCGGCTCGGGGAGGCAATTGCTCTTCCATTCCAACTCCGGGTCCACCTCCTTCACCTGGGTCGTGTAAAAGAGCTCTTCGTCCCGCAGGTGTTGGTCTTGCGGTATCATCCTCAAAGATATAAATAAGCTCCGGCTCTTGAGACCCCACTCCCTGAGGCCTGCGTCGGGAGTGCCACACAGCTGCACCTTCAACCACCGGCCCAGCTCGTCCTCTATCTTTGCCTCGGCCTTCAAGACGATCTCCACATCTCTGCCCAGGTAATACCCCTGGGCCCAAAACTTCCCTCCCAAAACCAGGATGCTGTGTCAGCCACCAGCGCAGATGGCCGCCTGAGTAGGCTCCGGGGCCTACTCTCTTCCCTCGCTGCCAGCCTCTTCCGGATCCTCAGGGGCATGTAGCTCAGGTCTTTCTTCTGGAAGGTCTCCGAAATCCTCCGAGGAGTCACGTCGAGGCCTCAGCTTTCTTTCTCGGTGCTTTCGGCCCTTGTTGGCCTTCTTTCTCCGAATGCCTCGAGCCTTTTCCCACTCTCTGATCCCTTTCCAGGACCAGTGAGTCCGAGGGGTTTCCCCCTGAGGTCTCACCGCAGCAGGAGCCTCAAATGGCGATCCGGAGATCTGCAGTCCTCTCCCCTCTGGAGAGGCTAGGCCGCCAGGAAGAAGAAACCGCCTCCGGGTCGGGGGAGACGCTGGTGTACTCCTCCTTTACTGCCAGCCTCTTCTCCGAGACTCCCCGCTCCTTGGCCGAAGACCCTAGGAGACCGCCCTCTTGACCGAGGGCGCTGCTTGAGCTCCTTGCCACTCTTGACAGCCTTAGCCTCCTTCTTCTCCTTCTTGGACTTGTCCTTCTTGTCCTTCTTGCGTCTGAGAGGCTCCTCACTGCTCGCCTCTCTTGACCTCTTGCGGTCCTCAGCTCCCGACTCAGGAGCTGGCTTCGGACCCTTCCCTCCGGCCTGGAAAAGGCCAAGAAGCAGGGCAACCTCACCGACCACCCGCTTCAAGGCGTACTCCACGTGGAAGTGGAGCGCCGGACTGAGACGGGGATCAGTGGCGACCCCGCCCACAAAAAGGGCCGCTCTGCACAGGCCGCAGAGCCCGCCTCCCGACGCAGGAGACTCCGGACTCCAACGGCCACAGCGCAGGCAGAGCGGCCCTGCCATCCAAACAGCACGAGCTATAAGCCGAAAATGTTGCGGCCGTTCATCCTAAACCCCGAGGACGGTTTGTCAACTACACCTTATTAGTCGCAGCCAGTTTGCCAGGCCAAGCTGCGATCTTGCAACCCGGCCTCGCTCATCGGAACTGCTCCGTCTCCGCTGGGCAAGTGAGATACAAAAAGCTATAACTGAAGGGGTGTCTTTGGACACACTCACGCAAGAAGAGATCCTTCATGGGTCTTGATTCATCCCCTGTGATTGATGACCCTCCCAACTGTCCAACGGGCACTGTGTGAGCTGAAGCCCAAGATCGGCGTCCAATTTTGCACTTCATAACCATCCCATGTAACCCACACGTTTCGCAGCTGGAAGCTTAGAGTTTCAAAACTCCTCAAACAGGCGATGGCTCGACGGGTGTCTGTTGAATTCTCATAAAACCATCCTCGACATCCGTAGTGGAATGGCATTACGGAAAAAATAGCGCTACACGACTCATGACTCTCCTAAAGACCTGCCACGCCACGGGCGATGGACGAAAGCTAGCTGTTTCCTGCCTCAGCTGTGGGCTCGGGCGTTGCTCGTTTCACGCACGCGCGCGCTTGCATAGGAAATGGCTCGGGCGTTGCTCGTTTCACGCATGCGCGCATAGGCAATTGCCCGCACATACCTCTTTGTGTTGACTGAGCTGGCATGGATGCCCCGGCGCTCTTGAACACTCACGCTGGCGCCGCTGATCAGTGGCGGACTCTACGGCGCCTTGGTGCGTGCCAGCTCGGGCAAAGGGACCACGCTCAAACAAGCAAGTGTATCCAACTGCCCACGCAAGCGCGTGCGCGCAGAAAACAACGGCGCCAGAGAGCATGTTCATGTTTGGCTTGGGGCGGATTTGAGCCGGGGGTGGGTTCGAGCCTGGGAGGTTTTCAGTGGAGTCCTTGGGCTGTTCATGGACAACTTGAGGCGAGAGGGGGCTGAGCAAAAGCTGTGCTCCGCGTTTTTCAGCGCAACGCCGAAGTAACGGCGATGTTGTCCTGTGGGGTGTGTCCTTGCGTGAGCGCGCGTCGCTGGAACTGCAGATGTCTCTGTGCGACAGAACATTTGGCAGAAAACCGCTCTGACGAGCCGCGACTCTCATTCAACATATGGCAGGACTTTGGTAAGCATAAAAAAGAGGAAGTGTCCTGTGTTCCTTGCTGGAGCCTCGTGTGTGGCGATTTTCCGCTCTGGCAAGTCGTGAGTACGACAAATACCAAGGGCTGAAACAGGGGCCGCAGAAACGTCAACATGTGCTTTGAGTCTGTCTGGATGCATGCAAATAGGGCAAGCAACTGCTCCATCGTGAATAAGACCGACCCTAGTCGCAAAAACGAAAACATGCCCATCATGTGTTCCTGGAACTTCAACGGTGTGCCCTCAGAGTGTCCCGGGCTAGACCAATATCAGCGCATGAAAAAAGAGGCTGCGGGAACGTCAACTTTTCTGCGCAGCAAATGAACAGCAATTTTGGTGCAAAATATACCTCCAACCCTTTCCTTCTTTTTGAGCATCACTGAGCAAGCCAGGCTGGGTGCACCTGCAACTCACGCGCTGGTCCGTCCTCAGTTTCTCAGAGCTTCCAAAAAAGAGAAAAACCGGCTCCCCCCCACAACGATGGTGTTCTACTTGAAGCTCAGGCCTAGAAAAAGGAAAGCCGGCCAGATTGTTCGTGGCCAACAACGCCGCGATGGAATGCGGCCAAGCGAAAGTTGGGGGCGGAGGCCTACAATCCACGGTTGTCCTAAGAACTTTCTGGACAACAGGGTGCATTGAAAAAAGCCGACTGTCTTACATGTTGAAGCTCCCAAAGCAAGCGCCCTTGGCGGGGGCAACTTTGTAGGGAACACGGTGAGTCGCAAGCCAATCAAAAGAAAGCCCTCATAAGCCCTTGCTTGCCCCTGCGTGCTAAGCGTCAAGAGCTGAACCCAGTTCATCTCCTTCTTCATGGCAAGGCTCCCCGTGTCCACTTCCAAGTGCTCACACTTTGCCAGGGGCATGCCGGTCCTTCAGGGATCTCAGAATCCGCAGGGCGGAGGCTGCCTATTTGGGACTGGCTTGAGAAAACACTAGGATCCGCGTGCTTTGAAACTGCACATGAAAAACCAAAGCACGCCCCGCTTTGTCTGAAGGTTCTGTCGCAGCTGAACACAGCACAACCGCTGTGTTTTCACTTGGCACTGGCAAGGCTTGTCAACCAGCACTGCGGGAAGCTCTGCCAGCAACCGCGCGCGTGCTCTAGGCTGCGCCGACAAAATAGCTTTTCAAAGCAATGAGGCCTTGGCCTCTGTTTTTCTTTCGCGTGCGCCTGCGCCCGCGACGGTTTGCTGGCCAAGCGCTCGCACAAACACGCCCCGGCGCGGCGCGCATGCAACGCAGCATCCGCCAGCGCGCTCTCACTTTGATCGTTAAGGCGTATAAGCCTGACTAAGGCTTAGCAAAAGAAGGATGACAAGAACTTCCACAGCGCTGGGACTAACTGCACGGCCGCCCCCGCACTTCACGTGTCCAGAAACCACCTCGGCTGCGTCAAAGCCTTACCAGCCCAAAGCCACAAGCCTGCAGCTACCTAACCAGTGTTGCAAGATTTCGGCCACCTTCGACTTTTTGCCGTTTGTCCTGTTGGCCGGCACCCCAAAGCAATTCCGCACGTAGCTGGGTCTACTCGCTTCTGGCGCAGTGCGCAGCAGCCAAGCCTCTGCCGCGAAGCGGCCGGTGCCATGAACATAGCCCGGGATGTTGCTGTCCGAAGGAGGCTCCTAACTGCGCGGTTGTTTGGGCGGTTGAAGCGGGACACACGTCCGGTCCAGAACGGAGAGGACAGAGGGCTGAAGCAACAAAGGGAGGGCTGGAGAGAACGGAGCTTTAACAAGGGATGGAAGGAACAGAGGGGGCAGAAGGCTGAAGAGAACAGAGAGGACAGTGAAGGAACAGTAGGAAGAGAGGAAAAGAAAGCAGAGGCAGAGGGGGCAGAGGACTGAAGGAACAGAAGAGGGAAAAGAGGGTTGAAGAAAACAGAGGGAAGAAAGGATTGAAGGAGCAGAGGGAACAAAGGGAACAGAGGGACCGGCATTTGGGATAAACAGTTTGCCATGGTTTTGGCACCGCTTTGCCCGCACGTTTCAAGAGAAGCCAAACAAAAACTCTTTCATTCGTTGAGGATCCTGTTCGCAATCGCTAGGTCCGACCACTCCGACTCGATTCCACAGAAACGGTTAACACAAAGCAAAACAGCAACAGCTTGCTGTCTCTTGGTGCGTTGCAGAGACGCTTACACACAGCACTTGCGCTGAGCAACTGGCACAGAGGAACTGGCACAGAGCTCAGACAAACTTGCGTGCAGAATGTTCTGCATCTACGACTTGGAAATTACCAGCATTGAAGTAGTATCACACGCATAAACATGTTTACGACAGCGCTTTTTCGTGGCAACTTTGAGACACACTTGCACAAAGCGCTTACCTGTGCTGAGCAGCTTGCTGGAGACTTGCAAGCAACTTGCACAAAGCAATGTTGCGCCGAGCACACCTTGGCAAGGACACTGGCACCAAGAACCTGCGCAGAGCGCCACAGAGCACTTGCGCGAAACAACTCGTAGACTCAAGAGATCATACGTCGCGCTCGCTCTATGACGCTTTCGGACACCCGTTCTTCGCGCTTTAGGGTGTAGGTCGTTTCCACAGCCCTCGAGGAACAGGGGGGGCGAGCGACCTACACGCACGGTAGAAGCGACACGCTTCTTTCACTTTTACTTCTACGCAAGCGACTCGCTTGATACAAGTCAATACATTTGCTGGGCCTTGCTAAGAGCGCGCGGAATCTGAAGACCTACAGCAACAACCAAACTTGCCCTCTGCGACGATTCCAAAACGCCGAGCATCAACGGCAAGCAAAGAGACGTCACTTGATAAAGAAACACATGCAGGCGCATTATGCGCATCTCCTTCTATTTGGGGCTTCCGGGACCTGGTGGGGCCTCTCCGCTGCTTCTGCAGGCTTGTTCATTTGTAACATTTCTGCACGTGTGCTTGTTTAGCCCAACACGACATCTTTTGTAGGTCAAAAAAAAACGTAGCAAACCGCGAGAAGCTCGATTGCAGTAGAAGGAGTCGTCTTTTCTCAGCCCGCTCCATGACCGGCATGGGCAGCTTTCTCACATGCTCGCAGCGCGCCCCGAAGAAATTCCCACGGTAGTGGGGCCAGCCCACGTGATTCTGGAAGAGCGGGCCCGCCTGACTGAAAATGAAGATCCAAAAGAGATAATCTTAAGGTCAGTTTCGGTTGGGTTGGCTTGGGGTCCAAAGTAGTTCCCATTCTGCAACTGAACAAGGCGACCAGGAAGGGAGCTGGGCAAGCCACTGTGTCCCAGCCATGGTCCAGGTTGCAGAGCACATCCTCAGCGCGAGTCAGCAGGAAGTGCTGCATGATGCGCCGCCACACTGGCGCGCTCTTGGTATGCAGGTAAAGCACAAGATCCGACTGTTCACCTGGCTTGTCTGGTCTGGAAAACAAGGTAATAAGATGTTCCAGCTTTTGCTGCCACAAACAAGAAAAAGGAAACTGACATCTTGTCCCTTGGCTCAGTAACACCAAATTTTCTATGCAACTCGGCCACCGGCTTTCCCCTACAAGGCAACCTAGGGCTCCAGAAGCTGCTTCTCAAAACACAATCGCGCTTTCAAACAAAAAACCATTGTCATTAGGAAGGCGAGCGTCCCTCGCGCTTACATAGTTTTCGCAAAAAACGGGCCTTGGCAATACCTCCACAAGTGCTCTTGCGTGCCGCTCTCATAGGCAGGAGCGTTCACTTGCCTTGGTTGCAAACCCCGGCCGTGTTCGGCTTTTGAACCTATTGACCTTCACGCGCTTGTATATATTCTCACCACAACATTGCAGCTCAAGGCCGGTCTTGTGAGAATCAGAGTCACGCCATCACAGGAAACAACTTTCTGCGCCCGCTTCCAACCGAGAAACAGATCCAGGGCCCCGGTTCGGAGTTCTTCAGACAAGGCTTCATGGAAGCCTACACAAGCGCAGGCCGGCAAAGGAAACATTCAATCAGGTGATGGATCTTGGACTGATGCTGCTTTGAAGAGGTCTTGCTACCAGTTTTGAGGCTGGATGTTCCTCGCTGAGAAATGTTTTGCTCTGCTGGTCTGTCAACTGACTTTGAGCGATGAAAATCTGTACAGTTAAATGTTATTGAAAGGGAACGCGTCTCGGTCTCGCTGTGTCATTCCTGCTATGTGTTGTCTCAGATGCGCGGGTCTTCGATGTTTGCGTCTTGCGCTTTTTGAATGTATTCAGGTGGCTTTGCAGTTGTGATGCCTCAGGTCATTCCACGCTGAGTTCAATCTTCTTGGTAAGATCTCGCATTTAGACACACAACTGTGCCAGACCACGCGCCTGAACCTCCGGGACTGTTGCTTTACCCTTACACTTCTCCACACCACCCCAGAAACATTTCTTGAGCCTCACTCCACCCCGGAACCTTTGCTGTGCCAGAGCACTGCTTGATTTTTTACCTGACCGCTGACAGAACCTTGCCTGAACCTTACACCAAACCCGCCATGAAACTTTCGCACCGCTCCCCAAACCTTAGAAGGTAAACATTTACACCTTCAGAAAGGGCAACGCAGACGGGCCCGCCTGGCCAACGAGCGCCGGAAATCGCTGAGAAAAAACACCTAACTCGGCTTGCATCTCCGAATGCGTTGCTCGCACCAACAGGAGTGAAGGAGCGGCGAATAGATCCAGACAAGCTACGCAGCAAACCAGTGGAAAGGAAAGACCATCTTCACGACAACTGGCTCAGAACGAAGAAGAAGATCAGCAGGAGACAGGATAATCGACAAGAGGCTGAGCCAGATCCTGCTGCGGACCACTTGAAGCCAACAACACTTCCTCTTGCCTTAAGCAGAACTCATAGGCCATTGTCTCAACTTGAGGAGTTGGAGAAGCCAGCTTCTTCAACTCCAGCACCATTGAGCACAAAATCGCTCCGACTTCGAACTCGATCTTCATTTGCCGAAGTCAATCTACGACCTCTTCGAGAAGGTACGCGCAGAGTGTGAAGTTGTGAAGTTTGCCACGCAGCAACACAAGCACCATCACGAAGCAAGACGCGTGGACTTCGACCGGATACCTTGGGCGACATGACGTTCATTGAGCACTGTCAAAAATCCCGTGTAAGTAGAGAACACATCATGGTTTTGCTCATTCTGGGTCGAGCAACAACTTTGCGCACTCCAGAGGCGGTCAACACAACGCAAGACATGTTGGAGATCAGGCTTTCGTGACAGAATCACACCAATCTTGGGACCGAACACACCGTAGCCTAACCGGTCTGAAGCAGCAGTACGTCTCTTGCAAGCCCAACTCAAGATCATGCTGGATTTCGTCAGGCAGGAACAGCACCTGCTTCACAGAATTGCAGCTTGCAATTGAAAAACGACCAGCGCCAACACAACTGACAGTTGAATTCCAGGTCAAGCAGTTGTCAGCACGGGCATATCAAGAAGCCCGTCGCTCGAAAGATACCAGGAGAGATCTTGTGGAATGAGCTCCAAACCTTTTCGGGCAAGAGACAAGGGCGTCGACCGGCAAGGAGATACTTCAAAGACCTGTTCCAATGGCCCGAAGGATGGCAGGACTTGAGACTCATCACGGCTCAAAGCTACCCCCTCCTCTCTAGCAAAGGAGAAAAGAACCCAAAGGAAAGAGCCAACAGGAGGCGCCAGCACAGAGCTTGATTGCGTTGGTAGCCCGTCACGCCCGGAACCGCTTCCCCAACACACGAGCCAACAACATCAAGAACAAGGCCCCTTCCAAAATGCTCCAACTACAAGGCCGGCAACTGGCAACGGGCGTGTCAAGAAGCAGAACGTTCGTCGGGCCGGAATTGACTTAGGGCTTGCGTAACCAAACTGCGAGAAGTGTGCTCCTTTTGTCAGCTGCTTTGGGATTGGCCACTTGAGCCCTCAAAGCGGCCACATTCGCTTGAAGTTGGCTTGCAACGTTCATTCTCCCCAGCTGCAAACCGTTGCGCCGAGCTTGCGCCAAATCTAGCGCGCCACATCAAGAAACAATAGACAGTGAACTCCGAACATGCTACACAAAGCTTTTGGGAACAGCGCAGCACTTTAGATTACGAAAAGCTACCATGAAACAACATTAGACTGACTGTTTTCCTCTTATCGGACCGCGCCAGGCGGCCCCAAGGCCGGCCCAAGTTCCACAAAGGAGTTGGGCATCTCCGAAAAGCGCCGTGCCAGCCAGAAGCTTGTGCGGGAGGCCCAACCTGCCTCGCCGAGCAACGGAAAAGGAATTGAAGAACGCCACGCTGGAGCAAGCATGTGTGGAACATTCTCAAAACTTGTCAAACTTAAAAAGCTGGCTGAGGCCTCCTGCAAAGCCGCGTAGACTTTGGGCTCGCTCTGCACCACGCGGCGCAGCCTCCACAAAGTCTGCTGCAAAAGGTGGAACTGCTCCCAAACGACTTGCGCTGCGTGGAGCCCGGGCCCTATATGCCAGAACACGGCGACGCTTCCATTTGTCTTCCATGGGTGTGATCGCAAAACGTCAGCTTGCTTGGTGAACATATGGCCATTGCTCAGGATTGCCGCGTCGAACTCGCATTCCAGTGGCACTGTCAGCGTCGCAGCAGGCGCTGCGAGCAACTGCCACTGCCATAAGAGGCAGACGGCCGCTGCGCAGAACAGCAGCCCGAAGCGCCTGAC